AGATAAGATGGCAGCATTGCTGGATCATGTTCAGATATAGCTTCTTTTTTGCATGATATTTGTATTTTTATTTATTACAGGTACTTATATAGCCTCATCAATTTATGCAGTGCTTTACATTTATATTGTACATTCACATCAGTCCCTGCCCTCAAGAAGCGTACAATCTAAGGTCCCTAACTCACATTCATACATACACATACTAGGACCAATTTAGACATAAGCTAAATAACCTACCAGCATGTCTTTGGAGTGTGGGAGGAAACCAGAGTACCCAGAGGAAGCCCATGCAGGCAGAGGGTAAAGAGAATTCTACCTTGCATTTTTGGATGGCATGGTGAACTGTGTTCATAGACAATGATGTTTGGAAGTATTCCTGTGCCTGTGCAGTGATGTCCATCACAGAATCAGACCTGTTTTTTATGCAGTGCTTTCTGAGGACCTGAAGACCATCCAATATTGCATTTCAGCTTTTCTCCAGATTCTCAGAATCTTTTGATGATATCATGTATTGTAGATGTTGATGTATTTAAAAGCTTTGAAATTTTATGTTGAGGAACATTATTCTGAAACTTTTCAACAATTTTAGACACAGCTTTTTATACACTGGTGAACATCTGCCCAACTTTATTTCTAAAACACTCTGGGTTGAATTACTAAAACTGGAGAATGCAAAATCTGGTGCTGCTCTCTACAGAAACCAGTTTTTTTAGTCAAAGCTTAATTGAACAAGCTGAAGTTAGAAGCTTCAGGAAGAAGGGTCAGTCACACACCGGAGGATTGATGAATATAGTGTATATTTATTGATCCATAGGACATAATCTTATGATTAAGCACGAGATCATGTGAAACGCGTTAACAGGTCCTGTATTCATGTCCTGGTGTTTTGTGTGTCCTATGGATCAATAAATATACACTATATTCATCTATCCTCCGGTGTGCGGCTGACCCTTCTTCCTGTTGCATTGTGTGTGGTGGCGAGCCAGAGCCCGCACCTGTTGTGGATTGATCTGGATTGTTTGCCTGAGCGGTATACCTCTGTACTTTGAAGTTAGAAGCTGATTGGTTTCTATGTAGAGCTGCACCAGATTTTGCATTCTCCAGTTTTAGTAAATCTACACCTCTTACTCTCTCATGCTCCGTACACACGATGTGAATATCAGCTAAAAAAACAATCACTTTGGGAGGTTTTGTATGATAATCTGATCCTTACTACAATATCAGAACGGACAAGCATGAACATTTTTCTCATACGATAACAGAGCAAACGATTTTTATTTAATCACCCCAGTACTCATTTGAAAACAAAAATCGAGAGACCAAGTACACGCATGCTCAGAAACGAAAGAATACATTACAATACAATACAGTACATTACATGACTTCCAAAGCTGTATTCTGTCGTATGAGAATTTTCGTAACTTAAGTAACCAATTAATTTTTTATATGAGACTAGCATACACAAAAAGAACGGACAGTTATTCGTTCAATATTCTCATCATGTGTACCAAGCATCAGATGCCCCTTTTTATACCTAATCGTGTTACTGACGTGTTGCCAATTAACCTAATTAGTTCCAAAATGTTCTTCCATCTCTTCCTTGTTAGTACTACTTACTTTGTAAGCTTTTTGTGGCTCTATCCCAACTTTTCTGAGACAGGTTGCTGCTTCAATTTCAAATGACCATATCTTTTTCTTAAAATGGTACATTTTCTCAGTTTAAACACTTGATATGTTTTCTATTTTTTATTGTGAATAAAATGAGTTTATGAGACTTGCAAATCAGTGCATTCTGTTTTTATGTAGATTTTAAAGGCAAATTTGTCTTTATTTTGCATAAATTTAACAGACATAGCATGAGAAGTATAAAGAACAGGTACAAGTAGATAAACAACAAAAAAAAACATCACAGGTGAGGTTAAGATCCATATGGATGTAAGAAAATAATGCAGTAAAACTGCAATAGGAAAGGATCAAACACTTATATTACGGAGGTATAACATAATAAACTATCAGGGGAGTATCCCCGGGCGAGATGTCTGAAACGATATGAGAGAACTCCATACAACCAAAAATGTAAACTAAAAAAAAGAAGGGGGGGGGGAGAGAAAAAAGCCAGCGGAAAGGAAAGCAAGAGAAGAGAAGAGAGAAAAGAGAGGGGGTTGGGAGATGGGGACAGTAGAAAGCCACAGTAGGGTAGTTCCTCAACCAAATCTCACCTAAGCGACCCCGCTGCCCGCATCTCGGCACGGACCGCAGGGTCCAATCAGTGGATAAGCCAAAATGAAAATTAGTTGTGGGAGCAAGGCTCAATCTAGAGCACAACAGGGGAACACATATCTCGGAGAGATGCAGAGGAGGAGAAATGGAGCCAGATCGACCACAGCAACTTATGTTTATCATAGGTATCATTGGTAAACACCAGCATTTCCTCCATACGCATGGTATCATTAAGCACGGAAACCCACATCGGGAAAAAGGAGGGAGGGTGGCCATTTTCCAAAAGAGGGGTATCAATTGGCGGGCCGCAGACAGAAAGAAGCACAACAGACTTTTCTTCTGTGCTGCCCGTGAGCCCGGTATTATAGATAGAAGGGCAATTTCCGGCGAAGGGGCCAAGGACTCACCGTGGACCTGGTAATATACAACAAACACTTGTCGCCAGAAGGGTTGTATTTGATCACAATCCCACCAGATGTGGAGCAGTGTACCAACAGTTCTATTACAGCGCCAACAAAGATCAGGTGTAGAAGGAAAGATTTTGTGTAGGGAGAGGGGATCCCTGTATCATCGAGAAAGAAGCTTAAAATTCTTTTCTTGTGAGTAGCAAGAAATAGACGATTTATGAGTAAAGTGGAACAGTGTGGACCAATCTTTTTATGTAGATTTAGATTTTACACAGCGTCCAAACTTTTCTGGAATTGGGTTTGTAAGCTTGTGTGCAATAAAATCAGAGAAAGCCATTTCAGCACATATGTGCAAGACTGAAGCCAAAGCTGGAGATTGGCTTTATTCCATTTAGATAAGGGTAGTACAAATAACCACATCTATATTTATATTATCTTCGTTACACAGGGCTCATAAGAAGGTGAGGGCACCACTATAAGTCAATCATGCATTGCACAGTAATGTCAAATTAAAACAATATGATGTGCTTACATCCCAGACTTTTTCATTTGTCCAGTTGCCAGGCTGGGGGTAGCTCATTGATCAAGCTGTATTGCCTATACAAGGCAAAATAACAGTGTCTCTGCAACGGACACCCCTCGACCCCCCTAGAGTCTGTGTCGAAAGGGCTTTTGTTGGCGTCAGACAGGTTTTGTATACCTATGCAAGTCTACAGGAATGCAAAGCCTGTTGAAGCAGACCAAATGCAGCTATGAATGCACCTGTCAAATAATTCTAAATTATATTTATCTTGCGGGAGTCAGTGCAAGGACACACTAGACACCTTCAGGCGCCATTGTGCTTTGCTGAGCTTGTGGTATGTCCTTGCACCTTTAAGGAGGAATGGGCTCCCTCCAAGCATACCCTGGCTTTAATTTATAAATAGTTATATATCCTCCAACATGGAGGCTCTCATAAACTGGGGTTAGGACCGCATTATACAGAGGGGCCTTGATGAGGCAGTGCGATTTCCACATACAATATACAGTACTTGCAAATGTTGTGCAACTAAAACCTCTGTTTTTAAGGCAAATTGTTAGGCGGAGTAATTTTTTATTTTGCTGACTAGTTGGTAAGTGTGCTCATAAAATGTATCAGATTTATACAGATATTTACAGATTAGACGTTGGATAATAAACAAAATTAGACATGAAGATGTGTCAGAACAATGACATTTTAACCCATATGCCTCTACTCTACTAATGGGTCTAAACTCATCTCAACCTTGTATACGCAAATCAATTTCCCCTACACAAACAATGGACATAGTTCTGTGAGCAAATGTGATGATGTTTTAAAATGATGCCAAGCCAAAAACATTTTTAGTTTTGGATTTGAAGGATTACAACCCCTGTCAGTTCTTTTTTGGCTATCCCGGTCTCTGTTAGTGAAACTTCCCCCTTACTTCTTGTCCTGCTGACAACAGTTTCACCAGACAGGAAGTGAGGAAAAAGTTTGCATTTTTATTTCTGCCTGTGTTGCTGTTGAAGAGTTTCCCTCAGTTTCTCTCTGGTAAAATGTTGTCAGCAGGAGCAAAAATAATAAGTCAAAACTCTCTAACGGAGCCCTAGATAGCAGAACAAACCCAACAGCGGTTCTTGACATACACCTTAACTATAACAGTTGATGATTGCTAAATGTTCATCAAATTATACTAATATGAAGGCAACTTATAAGGTCATGATACAGTGGTATATGGTCCCTACAGGGATATTGAACAGAAATTTTGGCTACTTGGATAAATGCTTTTGAGAATACTCATGTAGGGCAAGCTGGCGACACTTCCTCCATGTTTCCCAATTAACTCGTTGGGCACCCAGTCTGGGTCATATAAGAGGACTACCCTCGTGGTGGGTTCTTCTGGGCTACGCTAGGCGCCCATGACAGGGCCATTCCACTTCACACACATGGGGTACCTTTACACTGTGCCATTTAACTAATGCCCTGGGACAAGGATGAGATTGCTGACAGGGAATACTTGACCTTAAGGCGGGCCTCTACTCATAGAGATGAACAAACACCATGTACACTTGCACAACCACTGTTCTCCAGGTACTCTCAGGTCCAATTGTAAACGTACATCTTTCCACTGTAGCTTGCAATTAGGTGGATTGTGCCGAACACTGACCACAGCCACCTGTCCAGCACTTAACCACTATTGGTCCCGGTAGCAGCATGGAACCCCGCTGTGCCCATAGTGTGGGCTCCAATGTGCACTTGACTTTAACACTTGAACTTCCCTTCCCCTGTACAGTATGGGGACCGTAGTGCAATTCTTTTCTGGTTGCTGTGGGAGATGGAATGCAGTGTGGGCAGGGGCAGACTGACAAATCATGGGGCCCCCGGGCAACAGGGGATCATGGGGCCCCTGTGTCCTTGCCCAAACTCAAAAAAGCCTATGAAAAAGGTACCAGGGGCATTTTATGGGACCCTCTACTGACCCGGGCCCTCAGGCAGTGCCCAAGTTTCCAAATGGTCAGTCCGCCCCTGGGTGTGGGGAGTCCCGACAACATCTTCCTCATAGCTAGAAGCAATTTCACCTATAACAGGCACAGGTTTATGACAGGCTGTTTGGTGACTGTACCTTCCATTGCTTGTGGCAGCCACAACCTTAAGCTGCATTGAGGAGACTCTTAGCATGTTAACTCTTAATATGTGATAGTGACCCAAGCTGTAGACTAAATGTGTGATAGTGTCGGTTACTTGCAGTGCACCCCTTTCAAAAACTTCAGACCAGGCTAAAGGCAATATCTAATGCTTTCCTTGAGTTAAAGTGCAACATTACCACAGTGTCCAAAACAGACAAGACAGTCCAGTAGAACTTCATTAAAACAGTTAACATCCCTAAGTCCCTAATCCCTGTTCCTAACCAGGCTACGTGCTACCCTGGCATACCTGCAGAGGTAGAGTCCAAGTAATCACAGAGTCCATCAGAGGCATTCTCTGCATAATAATAATGCTCTTGGGTGTGACTCTCCAATCCGTTCCCTTATGGGCTCTTGGGAGAAAGGCAAAAAAGGACAAAAATCCAAAAGAATAAAGACTCGGCCAAGACTCCTGACTCGGCCACTGGCCCCTTTTATATCCACAGGTGCAGTGGGTAGACCCAAATATCCTGCCAAAAGCCAAAGATCTGGGAAAGGCATTAACCTCTACCTTCCTGTCTGGGGCAGCACCAATCTAGTTAATTTCAACCTGCTTACACACAGCTAGATGATACAAGTTATATATATGGAGGTCACGTCCTTTTGGTGGCAAATGTTTGGCATGTTTTAAAGTGTATGTATAGCCAAACATTTTTTTTTTACTTAGTTTTTAATAGGATAACTATGTGATACAGATCCATGACTCTGTTTTATATGTGAGAAACATATACTGTAGCTACTATGTAATGCACATCATATAAGATGTTGCTTTATACTTGGTATAGGAAAAAGTAGACCTTAGCTTGGTTACAATACTTACTATTTGTGGATGTTGTCATCACTGTGACTGCTAGACAATATGGACTTTACTTTTTTTTTTGTTTGACAGGGCTCTGTGGCCTCTTTCACACAAATTACAGTTTCTTCAGCCCTCTGAGAAGAGATCCGTAATGGTTTGCTTATTAGAGGGCAGAAGAATAGCGGCTTCCAGGCATTCTGTAACCTCCTGAATGCGTTTTTTTTCTGGCTGAATTTATTTTGTTTTATCGCTCTGTTAGCGGACCATCTAAAAGAGCCCCAGTATATTTTGGAAATGTAATAAGGGGGGGGGGGGGAGAGGGGGAGAGAGAGAGAGAGAGATGGATGCAGATGCTGCTGAAGGTTTTTTACCTTAATGAATTCTTTGTGTTCATGTAAAAAACCTTATGTTGTCAGCTTCCCCCTTTAAAAAAAAAACTTACCTGAGCCCATTCTTGATCCAGCTCTGTGCCTGAAAGCAGCTACGCTGCTCTCCCTCCTCTCCTTCTCCAGTGGCTCCTTCAAAGCCAGTGACAAAGGAGCAGAGAAGAGAGCCGTGTCTATAGACGCGCACAGCACGGTTGTGGATTGAGCAGATTTCCATGGTGATACACGGAGAAGAGAAGGAGGCAGGAGCACCTGCGAGAGACCCGAAAAGAAGAGAATCAGGGCTGCTTTATGCAAAACCATTGCACAGGGCAAGTAAGTAAGACATAATTGTTATTTAAAGAAAAAAATACTTTACAAATCACTTTAAAGCTCAACTCCAGGAAAAAAAAAATCCGCCTCTATACACCGAGATAGGGGGAAACATATGGAAAAAAAAGAAAGTGGGGACTAAATGTGTCCTCTCTTTTATAGAGCGGTCAAACTGTCCATGAAACTAATTTCATTCAATCTGTGAAACCAGGGACCAAGAGTCGGTGGGGAAGTTTGCTTCCATACATCTGAGATGCAAGCACAAGCTGCATTCAACATGTGGGCAGTCAGTGAGTTCTTACAGCGATGCAGTGATACCTTATTAAGTTGTAACAGGTAACCTAAAGGGTCTGTGCTGAGGTCCACCGATGTTAATTGAAAGACAACATTCTTAGCTCTCACCCAGAATTGTTGTAAGGAAGAACATTGCCAAAAAATATGAAACAGTGTACCTGGCTGTCTCTGACACCTCCAGCACATCATGAAGACTTGAGGACAACATTTTTTCATTAACACTGGGACCCTGTACCACCTAGACAACCGTTTGTAGCCCTGTTCCTGAAAGCAGTTAGCAAAGGAAGAGCTATGGGCTAATTGGATGACTTTTATTGACTTGTAGTTTTGACAGGGAAACCTGAAAATCAGGCTCTCACTTGTGGATATATGAAGGAACATAGTACTCCAACAACAACGTATACATGGAGGAGAGCTGATGGGGTACAGAAGGTGGATTTTTTTAACTACCCTGCAGTTGGGCTTTAATGCTGAAGCCATTTTCCCTTTGTCCTTTGTTATATGTATTTTGTATGGGCTGGATATAAGCTGTAAAAATAAGTCAATAATGTTACTGTACATATCTCTCAAAGAGGTTGATAGATGAAGCCTTTTTTTACCTACATAAGTATTAAAATTGGACACAATGTCTAACCCCTCCCCTCTCTGTTCAAAACTAAAAAAAAAAGTTTTAGAAATACACTTTAATCCAGTGGTTCTTAACCTTGTTGGAGGTACTGAACCCCACCAGTTTCATATGCGCATTCACCGAACCCTTCTTAATTGGAAAAATAAAATATGATTTTTAAAATTCAAAACATAGGTATATATTTATACATAGGTGCACAAAATGAACAAAACCGTTAAGAACAAAGAACAAAACCATTAAAACATGATTTTCACACAAAAACATAATAATGAATATTTACTGCACGAATCATATGAGTCGGGTGTGGGTCTTCACCTCTGCCGAACCCGCGAGACTGACTCACTGAACCCCTGGGGTTCGATCGAACCCAGGTTAAGAACCACTGTTTTATAGTAATTCATCCCCCATAGTAATTCATCCCCCATATAGTAATTCATCCCCCATATAGTAATTCATCCCCCATAGTAATTCATCCCCCCTATAGTAATTCATCCCCCATATAGTAATTCATCCCCCATAGTAATTCATCCCCCCTATAGTAATTCATCCCCCATATAGTAATTCATCCCCCATATAGTAATTCATCCCCCATATAGTAATTCATCCCCCATAGTAATTCATCCCCCCTATAGTAATTCATCCCCCATATAGTAATTCACCCCCCATAGTAATTCATCCCCCATATAGTAATTCATCCCCCATAGTAATTCATCCCCCCATATAGTAATTCATCCCCCATAGTAATTCATCGCCCATATAGTAATTCATCCCCCATAGTAATTCATCCCTCATAGTAATTCATCCCCCATATAGTAATTCATCCCCCATAGTAATACATCCCCCATATAGTAATTCATCCCCCATATAGTAATTCATCCCCCATAGTAATTCATCCCCCATAGTAATTCATCCCCCATATAGTAATTCATCCCCCCTATAGTAATTCATCCCCCCTATAGTAATTCATCCCCCATATTAATTCATCCCTTATATAGTAGTAGTAAGTAAGTAGCAAGTAGTAAGCCAAGTCCCCCCTGTGTCAATTCACTTACCTTTGCTCCGCGCGTTCCTCTCGCCGTATTCCCGCGCCGTTCCGGTCTTCAGGGCGGACTGTGAGAGGAGCCTAGCTCCTCTCACGTTCGTCACGCTGCCCCGCCTACACACATCCTGACAGCCAATCACTGGCTATCAGGATGTGAGTGGCAGCGAGACTGGCCAATCATTGCATTTGAGCGCGCTGCCCTGGCTGTTTTTTTTTTTTGGATCACACTGCAGAGTCCCTGCCGCCCGAGAGGAGGGAGGGGAGCGGGCGCCCGGCACACAAGAGCCACATTAAAGCGTGTAAAGAGCCGCATGTGGCTCGCGAGCCGCGGCTTGCCGACCACTGGGCTTAGCGATGTTGCGTGACCACCTGCAGCCAATGATGGACAGGCGGGGCATGTCATCACGAATCATATGAGTCGGGTGTGGGTCTTCACCTCCGCCAAACCCGCGAGACTGACTCACCGAACCCCTGGGGTTCGATCGAACCCAGGTTAAGAACCACTGCTTTAATCAGATATATTTCCAAAGCAAACTGTTATCTGAGCCAATGATGTCATACAATAGCCATTCAAATCTAAGATTACTGGAAATTTATAGCATGATTTGTAATACATAATCTTTCATACCTAAAAACCTCAAACAGAAAAACTGAAAAGAAATGACATTAGATCCATGTTCTATTTCTTTTTATCTCATTGACATTCATTTGTAACATGACTAAACTCCAGTTTTATATAACAACTATACGTTAATTACTGAGATTAGGTCAATAAACTATTAGCAGAGGTCTTAATGATTCAGTAAACCAATGAACTATTGATAAACAGTAACCCATAATAGCTGCAATTAAGACTGAGCGTATACCTACAACCTTTGGAATAAGCAATCATGGCTACACCTGACAAAAATCATGTACAAAGTTGTTCACTGGATGCCTTTGCTGTCATTTTCTGTAGCTGGGCATCACGTACATCCCTGTACCTTTAAGGAGGGATCGGCTCCTCCAGGCACACCTACCCTTAATCTATCCATTGGTATATGTGCTCCTACTATGGAGGCTCTGGAGATTTTAGAGTTAGGACCACAGTATACAGAGGACCCTTGATGCAGAACTGTGGATTAAGCATGTATTTGCAAATGTGTGCAAACAAAACCTGCTTTTAAAGCAAACCATTTGACAGGGCCAAATTGGTTGTTTTGCAGGCTGGTTGGTAAGTGTTACTGGGAAATCTTTTGTTTATTTGTGATGTGCATTGCCCTTCCATGTGCATCTTACTGCTAAGGCTGGTTATAGGTTGGGACGGCTGCCTTTTTTTTTTGTACATTATGAAAAGGGTCTCAGAATAACAGTCCAAAAGCACATTTTGGGTACACTTTAGGTAC